AGCTTCAACAATTGTGACTGTATGGTTCGCAATGCTGAAGAATAGTTCATCATTCATTGCAGCATTTATTAAACGAAGCATATATGTCTTCCCTGGCTTCACCTTTAGTTTGAATGTATCTGAAACCAACCCAGATACATGATCATTCAAGATAAATTAGAATGTAAAAGTAAATGTTAGTTTTTCATTTTAGATAGTGATGATACCTTTAGAAGAACAATTATACAAGGGCCCTGGAAAACCATTAATTGTGTATGCATCTGAAACATTTGGACCACCCCCTGTTTGCAGAGCCTGGTTAATCACAGCCTCAGGATCTACATTCCACCACTCCCCTGAAATCGAATTTGAATAGTGGAGTCATATTAAAAGATGCTTACGAAGTCTGTTCATAAAATGCAAAATGCCATATATATATATGATAGTTACCAAAAATAATGGGAACTTCCTTGTATGGTTTTCTGAAGGGGTAAGATTCATTGCGCTTTGGGAGGATGATGATTGGTCCGTAAACTGTTGCTCTCATCCATGAGATATGAGCATGCCAGAAGAGAGTTCCTCTCTGTCCAATGATTGTGAAGTTGTACGTGTATGTCTGGTTGGTCTGTATCGGACATTGTGTCACGTAAGCTGGTCCATCAGCCCACCCACTCCTAAGCTGCCGAATGCCGTGCCTGTTATGGTTTTAACTTTATTCCCCAACTCCAAAGCAATAGCAACCGAAAAAGAATTAAGAAAACGAGCAAAGAACACACACATATATAGTGGTTTATCGCATGCACCACAAGGAGATTACAGGTTTCCTCACGCCTGTTTAATCTAATGCCCCGAAAAAATGCTTCCTATTCCCCTTCCCGATTTTATTATATAAATATTGTAGGAAATTAAAGGCCACTTAATAAATTTTTGGTCTATTACGTCTATGTAATAAGAAATTTTTTTATCTATGGTCAGGAATAACTGAACTGTATAATTAAACTTCATACGGTCCAATGCCAGCACTTAACTTGAAGCAAACCATGTGGCATATATTTGAATGTTATTATTTTCTAAAATAAACTGTTGACGAGTTCTCTTACCAGTGAATCGTGACATTGTTAGAAACATGGTTAACCACCTTAACGAGGAGCTGATCACCATCTCGTGCAACAATGCGAGGGCCGGGAAAGCGTCCATTGACGCTAACTATGCTCTTTGTGTGGCACAATCTCGTTACATTGTGCTGTACAATCTAGCATGACAGGTTAACAAAACCAAAAGTTTAGTAGCAGAAGATAGAATGTAAAAACCATATTCATCTGGGCAAACTAATGTACATTGAACGTGTAGTTTCGTGTCATGCAAAACGCAAACTCGGGCAGTAGCAGTGCAGCAAAAACTCCAAACAGCCGGACTGCCATTGAAGCTGGTGCCATCTTTTACTCTCTTTACTGTTGTGAAATGTTGAGTTTAGATTACAGAAAACTAGGACTATAAATAGGGACAATTAGGTAATAAAAATATGAATATCAAGGATAATGTTCATGGAGTTTCATTTTCCTGTTGTGTAGGTTACCTTGCATGTTCCGCTCTGCTGTTGGTCAAGCTGAATTTTAGAGTGCTGATTAAGTAAGATAATACTCTTCCGTTTCTTGTCTGATCCTGATTATAAAGTGGAATTTTACTTATATGATCACTTATTAGCGTTGGAGATCAATCGATTAATTCAAAATTGAAGAGTTTAATTATTAAAAATGTCACATTCTACAGTTCAAACAGAATGTCTCCTCCCCCACCACTGGCCCTCCTGCCGAGTAACTAAAGAATGTTGTCACATTTTAAGGTGGTCCTTAGCTTGACTGCTTATTCATAGTTTGAAATTCTTATATTTTATAGTATAAGGGCTTGCATAAAATACTTTTCTGAAGCTTCTCGTGTCAATTGTTTGATGTTAAAGGAAAGGTTCATCATTTGAGATAAAATAAGAGGATGTCAACTTAAGTGGTCGGCACATATTTTGTGTAAATTTAAAGATACTATAGTTCATAAGAGTGACACGATTTCAATGGAATAGATTAAAAGATGGATGCATCGACCAAGTTAACATGGCTTTTAGTAGTTGTTGCTATCTTCATTGATAAAATGCATTTCACTCTATTGCATACCTATAGTTTCCAGAAAATTCAATTTGAGGTTGATTATAAGAATTTTTTCCCCTTAATTCGTTGTTACATATGCTCAAAGATTCAATGCGAGGAATAGAAGTATGAAAATGACAAGCTTGAAGAGGAAATTACACCATTCAATATTATAGTATAATCGATGTATATTGATAACATTTTTTCTGAAAATATTTTTAAAATTTCCCAAAAAAAGTAAGGACAACATAGGATTTTTAATAAAAAATTCATCTTACTGGAGAAGAAAGGGTAGTTGCAGTGATGACTGGTGAGCAATTCTAATTTTTAAAGGATTCAATGTCTCAGTCGACCCACTTTGCAACTGATCTTACTTTGCAATTAAGACTATCATTACTTAGACTTCTTAATTCGTATTAAGCTAATTTAAATACTTGAATTAATGCCCGTTGCTTCCAATTCAAATTGGACATTCCACAAGCTAGGGGACTGTCCAGGGATCAATGCCCTGCCCTCTAGTCCATTGTCCTGGAACGTGCCTCATCGAACCTAATTCACACCAAGGATTCTTCTAACTTGCATATACATTTGCAGTCGACAAATATGTTTATTCTCTCTTGTCGTAAGTTTTATTCTTCTTCTTTTCCACACACCCTTCAAATTTGTATAGTTCCAATCATCTCGTCTATCCTTGAGATACGTGTAACATTAACTAATACTTGGGGACATGATTAAGAGAACAAATCAGATTTTATTGGAAAAAGGTGGAGAAAGTGAAGGAAAAAAACCCGTTGGGAATGTTTTTCCCCCAACTGCCACGGTGAAAAGAATGTTTCATCTCATCCATGATCCATGCCAAATCTTGCAAATAAATACAAGACCACTAGGTCTAGCCAACGATTAAGTCCTTTTCTTTTGGATATGCCACTCGACCCTATGTCAGCAATTCGGTTACTAAAAACTTTGTCTCAAGACATTACGTCGCGCTTGCATGTCAAAATGGCTTGTGGGTTCCAAACAAGTAAAGTAAAAGTAATTTAGGGCTCTCAATTCCGAAAGTATTCTACAACTAATTCCCAAAATCTCTTTACATAAAGCCCCTTAAATGCAATTTAGGTTGAGTACGAAATTTTCTAA